CTCTCTCTCTCTCTCTCTCTCTTTCTAAAAAACAGCTTGAATAATTAGTTGTCAGATAACACAATGAATTTGCTTGTTTAAAAAAAGAGTTAGTTACGTAAAGTACAGTTAAGTAAAGTTAGTCAAGATGTACATGCGTGTTCATCTATTGAAATAGAAAAAGAAAAAAAAATTACTACTTGGCCAAGCCGAGAGTAAATGGAATATTCCAGTACTTCGAGACGCAGGAAACATTCTAAGAATTTCAATTGACGTACACACGTTTCCGTGGTAAGAGCACTCTCCTCTGGCTTATGGTTGTGCTTACAGGATATGCAAATTACACTCACCTCTCAGTGGCGGCGACAGAAATTAATTTATTCTCCAGGAAGACCTGCTCGATCACATTTATCGCCTGAAGAATAGCTTCCCCAGCAAGCGTGCAACTCTCGCAGTAATTCACGCTGCTGCTCGCTTGAGAACTCTGGGACACTTTGCTCGCTTCAAACGTCTTCCGCGCTTCATTCTCGCTGTTCTTCACCTGTTGACGTTGCTCCTATTTTTCAGCTTCCTCCGATCGAATGGGGCAAATGAATTTTTACGATCTCCGTTGAGTACTCTCGATTCGAGAAAAATCCTTTCTCTTTCTCTTCCACCCCTTTCTCTCTCTCTCTCTCTCTTTCTCTCTCATCCTTCTTTCCCATCCGTTGCGTTTATTCCTCGTATCTTTCACCCTCTTTGTTACTTTCATTCTTTATGTTTTAATTATTTCTTTATATGCTTTAATTGTTTTTTCTCTACCTATTGTATCCGAACTTCCCTCCCCCTCCCCCTCCCCCTCATTCTTCCGTTGCACTCGCACGCGTCCAACAATTAAAATGCAAAAACTGTTCTCGCGCGAGGAAATAAAAGAAATAATGAATATGAAGTACGAATTTCGCTCGTCCGATGTAATGACTATCCTTTGTCATCCTCGAGGAATCTCTTTTTCAAATATTTACTCGACTAACCATACGACGAGATATCGAGTCAGGCATTGTCTTCAATCGGTCCCAAACAAGTCGCAACAGACTGGCCAACGAGATTTGATTCGAACGACTGACGCAGCTCGCCTCACTAAAGAAGTCCTCGACGAACGGAAATTTGTCCATAAATTCCACGATCAAACGTAGAACGAAATGAATTCTGCAACAAAGTCTACTTCTTGGACGAGATAATTTTAGATAAATTTGCGCGATCGAAGCGACCGCGTTTGACTAAGAATCGTTCCGACGAAAATTGATATCGTCGAGTCTCTTGGCGAGATACGCATAAAATACAGGGACTATGAATACAATCGAACGAATTCGTCGAAAGAAAAAAAAAAAAATAAAATAGATGTTCGGAGAATGTGAATCACCTCGCAACGGCCTCGAAATACCCTCGGACGTAGAAACACGAGCAATAAGTTGTTGAATCGGAAATGGCCTCGCGAGGCAACCGAGTGCACCGAACGTTTCGTTGCGTTCCGTCCGAAAAGCAGTCCGTTCCCTTTGACGATACCACGGTCACGAAACATTTACACGCCTAATTGAATCGTGTGCACGCCGTGATAAAAACTTCAGGCGCTCGTTCGCCTTTCATCGTGCGTATTTTTTCGCGCTCTCCGCGCGCAAGACAGGAAAAACCAAAAGATTTTCCCTGCCTGGCCTTTCGCGTTATTTCGTTTCGCATCGTTGACGAGTTGCAAATGGAAAACGCGGTACGATCGAGGCGAGGAACTCGATGGAAATAGGTGGACATAGAGAGAGAGAGAGAGAGAGAGAGAGAGAGAAATAAAAAAAAACAAAAAATGAAAAATGAAAAATGTGCCAAACAACCTGTCGTAGGCCAACTCCAGGAGAAGAATATAGAATTCCCCTGCGGTCCCGTCGTGCTCCTTCACAATTTCCATGGCATTTATGCCTTTCGCGGTTTTCGTCGGGAATTTCCATGACAGATGTTCGATATCGCCGAGCCACGAATACATCTCGTTCGAGACATGTACACACTCCCTGATATCCGCGATGATTGACGTTACCAGGAGCTTGTTCAGTTTCGGCATGATTCCGAAACGTTGCGCAACAATGGCACGCAAAGGTTAAGATCGTGGATCATCGTGAACGTTGTTCAAAGTCACGGGGCCGCGACCGGTTCGATTGAGATTAATCGATCGCTTTGTACACGTGTGCAGGAAGGAAGAGTCCGAGGGTAGCTAATCAACTCTTGGTTACAACTTTGTCGATCGTTTAGCAACATAATTCGAAGAGAAACTGTCAAATACACTGCTAGACTAAATTATACATTTCTTGCATTTGAGATACCAGAGGCGTAAGAATTTTCTAAATCTAATTCACTTTTTCTTCGAAGGATAAAATCCTTTTTACTGGCATGCGACGTTCGTTTGTAAAATTAAAATTAATAAACAACAGTGAGGGAATGAGACAAGTAAAAATAAATAAATAACAAAATGGAAGACAGTTTTCATCACGGACCCGCCGGCAGAGATTTTAGCTCTCGTTCGGAACATGAGCCGTTATTATTCAATCTGAAATCGCCAGGAACATTGAATTTACTTCGTACAGTTTGCTGATAATTTCATACGAAACACGCTTAAAACACGGTAATCTCGCGCGCTTTCGATACGTGTCGCGTCTGCGTCAGTATTATTCAGTTTCGCTTAATTGTGATTTAACGAGCGGCGTAAAATTCGCGATAGCAAAACGCACTATCCAGCCCTCTGCAAGAAATTGGACGATCTCGATTCGCAGATTCGTATCGGAAGCGATACGCGAGGAAATACCTACCTACTCGTGAAAACATTCGCGGACTGTCCTTATTTCACGTCCTCGGATATAAAACTTTCAAAATTACCTTTGTTATTACGCTCTCTGTTCTCCGTGTTATTTTTATTATTAT